TGTGTGTGTGTGTAAGTATGTGTGTGTGTAAGTATGTGTGTGTGTGTAAGTATGTGTGTGTGTGTAAGTATGTGTGTGTGTGTAAATATATGTGAGGTGGGGTGGGACACAGAATATGCCAGATACATCAGGAGGTAGAATATAATGAGAGCAAAGGAGAGATCTAGACAAAATGTTCTGGGAGAATTTGAAAAGGGAAAGATCTTTGGGCGTATAGATATACATACACACATATCTATATCCAGCCAACCAGCCATCCATCCACCCATCCATCCATCTATCTATCTATCTAAACAGAGACAGACAGACAGACAGAAACAGACAGACACACACAGATTAAATGGAAGATAACCATAAAGAAGAAGGCGCTTGCAGCTGGAGGGGAAGTGAGCATGGAAATGAGAAGGGGGAATTTGAGCTGAGTCTTGAAGGAATTGGGGGATTCTCAAGAGTGGAGGCAGGGAGGAAGAGCAGGGGGATGGGGGATAGCCAGTGCAAAGGCAGAGAAACGGAGTCAGAACATTACGTAGGAGGAAGAGGAAACAGGCTAGTCTTATTGGACTTGAGTATGTGAAGGAGAGTGATGTATAAGAAGACTGGAAAGATAAGAATGGACCAGGTTGTAAAGAGCTTTAAATGACAAATAGAGCTCATATTCAATCCCAGGAGTAATAGTGAGCTATGGAGTTTATTGAGTAAGAGTGTGTGTGTGACATGGTCACACTTAACACTTTAGAAAAGTCACTCTAGAAACTGTGGGAGATGGATTGGAGTAAAGAGAGATCTGAGTCAGGGAGACCAGTTAGGAGGCTATTGGAAGAATCCAGGTGAGAGGTGATGGGGACTTGAACTAAGGTGGTAGCAATGTGAATAGATCAAAGGGGACCTATTTAATGTGTGTTGTGAAGAAAGATGGGGAATCCCTGGACATCCTCCATGATAGTGGCAAGCACCTATCGTAAACCAGTGTTTCCCTATTTTATGCCTCACTTGGTATTAATAATCAGAAGTTATTAAACAAAATTATCTCTGTTGTCTTTGAAGAAATTTAATGTAGCTTTGACACATGCATAGGAGATATCTTGTTAATTTTCTCTTTGGTGTTTTTACTCATGGTTTCTAACCCAATCCCTAAATTTTTTTTTTAATATTATTTTATTTTCAGTTCTGAATTCTCTTCCTCCATTGAAAAGGAAAGAAAAAAAAAACCTGTTATAAATTTTGTATAGTCAAGCAATCAAATTTCCTCATTAGCCACGGACAAAAGAAAAGAAAGAAAGGTTGCTTCGATTTGAACTGAGCTCGTCAGCTAGATAGAAATCTGAAGGTGATAGTATGTTTTATCCATCCTTTGGAATTATGGTTATCAATCAGAGTACCTAAGTCAATTTTCAGATGGGCATGGAAGATTTAACCTGCTGTTTTGGCTACCTGGGCTAGTTCATCTCTCTTTAGGCATCTTTTTTTTTTTTTTTTGGCAATGGGGTTAAGTGACTTGCCCAGAGTCACACAGCTAGTAAGTGTCTGAGGCTGGATTTGAACTCAGGTCCTCCTGACTCCAGAGCCAGTGCACTACCCATTGCACCACTTAGCTGCCCCTCTCTTTAGACACCTTGGTGGCTCTCCCCTCCTGGGAGCTTACCGCATTGGTTTTGGACTTCATTGGTACACTCCATTCACTTTAGCTCTACTATAACTCGTAATTCCCAAGCTCGAGGTCCACCATTCTCAGCCTCCTTAGCATCAGGGATTACAAACTTTCAGCCCTACAAGGGGTCTCCTAGCACTTTACCTGCATCTCACCCATGAATATGATAACATTGTTTTTATATTGTACCGGTCAATGTCACAACATCATACTAGAATATAAGTTTCTTGAGGGCAGAAACTGTTTCACTTCTCAGCTTTGTTTCCCTAGTACCTGGGCTCGGGATTCAGTGCTTGGAGTACAGTTGGATAGTTTTTGAAGATACTTGGCTAAAACGACCTTTTCTAATGAAGAGTTACAACCTGAAAAGTTGTCATCTTTGAGGTGGAGAGGGGAGAATTCTTGGAAGGACAACGGGGAAAGAAGGAAGAACAGGACAAGTTAGGAAAAAAAGTGGCTAGTGGGAGAGGGAAGAAAGGTGTTTGAGGGCAGTGGTCGATTATATTAGAAATCAATTTGAGGGGCAGCTAGGTGGCACAGTGGATAGAGCACCAGCCCTGGAGTCAGGAGGACCTGAGGTCAAATCAGGCCTCAGACACTTACTAGCCGTGTGACCCTGGGCAAGTCCCTTCATCCTGTTTGCCTCAAAAAGAAAATAAATCTGTTTGAGCAATTTTTGACCATAGACCTAAGTCCAGAACCAAATTAGACTTGAGGAGGGGTAGGGAGAGACAAGGACACAGAGAAGAGAAGGAATGGGAGAGGGACGGGAGAGAAAAGGAAGGGAAGAAAAGAGACAGATACTGAGGCAGAGAGGTGAAGGGAGAGATAGAAGCAGAAAAAGATGTACTTTAGTGTTATTGGCTTTGGGAGGAAAAAAAGCAAGCAGCCCATGAAAAACACAGAGTCCCTAGTGTTAACAATCACTGAACTGTTCTGGGCCACATTCATTGTAGACCAGAGGCCCAAAAGAGTCTTTGATTTCTAGAATGTAAGAGACTAAGAGAGGGGTTTAGGGATCATCTAATTCAACTGCCTCATTTCAAAGATGGGGAAACAGAGGCATAGGAAGGGAAAACGTCTGGTTGAAAGTCACACAATTATTAAGTAGCAGAGCCAGGATTAGAACCCAGTGCTTCTAACTCCTCTTCCCCACTTCTTTTTTCCAAGAATTTCACTCTTGTTCATCCAGTTATCCCCAACCCAGAGAAAAATGCAATACAACCAACCACTTTTTTAAAAAACCTTTTCTTCCACTCCTCTAACACTTTTTCTCCAGGGTGACACAATGGGAAGAATATGAGTCCAAGGTTCAAGTTTTCCGTGTGACCTGGGGTAAGTCATTTTTATTCTCTCAGCCTCAGTTTCCCCATCCCTAAAAAAATGGGCCAATAATAATTCCTGTTCACCTCATAGGAGGATTATAGGGTTCAGTAAGTTAGTGGGTGAGACACTATATTGGAACATTTTTTTTAATTTTCTGGATTTGCGATTTTATTGCTTCAGAAAACTTCCACTATTGTAGATGTGCAATTGCTCAGCAGTTTATAGCCTTAGAGAGCTATTTGAGGTATGCAAGAGGTTAGGTGACTTCTTCAGGGTCACACAGCCAGAATATGACTGAGAAGCTGACTAACTACTATGCAAAGCTGCCCCTTGTAACCATAACACCTAAATTTCATAGATCTGGAACTGGAGGGGACCTTAGAGTTCATATGGCCAATCGACAAGCATTTATTATAGGCCAACTAGGTGTTGGGCACTGTATTAGGTGCTGGGAATACACAAAGACAAAAATGAAACTGTCCCTGCCCTCCAGGAGCTTATATTTTAAGGAGAGAAGGAGAAGGGAAGACAATATGTATGTGTGGTGTATATATATCTATATATGTATATACAAAATACATATAATTAGTTTGGAAGATGGGAGTACTAGCAGCTAGGGCAGAATCAAGGAAGGCTTCATGTAAGAGGTGGCATTTCAGCTGAATCTTAAAGGAAACAACGAATTTTTAGAGGCAGGGGTGCAGAGGGGGTGCATTTCAGTGTATTTGAAACAGCCTCCTCCTTTTATGGATGATGAAACTGAGGCCAAAGGCTACGTGGATAACAGAGCCAGGATTGAAATCTGGTTCTCTCCTTACTCCATTGCTAGTGCCACACAGAGCTGGGTTTCAAAGCTGGATTCTCTGGACTCCAAGGTTAACTCTTTCCACCAGGCCTCCTAGGGCTAGTCTTATGCTTCCTTCTCTCACCCCAGGACATCAAGGTGATCTTCACACACCTTAGGAACCCATCTCACCTCTTCAACTCACAGCTCCTCCCCATCCTTGGTCCCTATTTCAATTTGGGATTGGGGAAGTGGGGTTAACTTTAGCTTGGCCAAAGGAACATCCTTGGTATTTAAGCTCCTGAATGAACTGCCCTGGCAGTAACTGGGATTGGGATCAGCAAGCTGGGAAGTAGCCTTCTGGTGTGGGACCTTGTCAAAGGCCTTTTGGAAATCTAACTTAGGGATATCCTCTGCTCTTAGCTCATCCACACACTTATTTACTGTCTCCAAGAATGTCAAACAACACAGTATCATAGATCCAGAGCTCAGGAGGGCCCCAAGAGGTCAACTAGTACAGCATCCTCATTTAGCAGACAAAGTTCAGGCCCAAGTTGGTTAAGAGATTGGCCCAAGGTCATACAGGTGTAGCAAGCATCATGAGGTAAAATTCAAACCCAGGTCTTGATTCCAGAACCTGTGCTCTTTTACCAAATAATGTTGCCTTTGCATAATCTAACAGGAGTTCTTTCCCTACCCTCTCCCCTGTCCATCTGATCCCTCTATAGAGGTCTGACCTCCCTTGTCCCCTAGAGACTGCATTTTAGGAGGGATATTGATGAGTTGGTGAGTATATAGAATATTCCAGAATCAGGGTAGCATTGGGGTGGAGTGGGGGGGCAGATGACAGGCCACAAAGCTGACCCACAAGCAAATAACTTTAATTTTTTCCAAGCAGGAGCTTGGCCTCCTGAGGGCCACTGCCCTGCCACACGCCTCGGATATGATACAACCCATCACAGCTAGATTAAAAAAATACACAAAAATATATATATATATATATAATATATATAATATACATTACAAAACTGGGTGCAGGGAGAGGGAGGGAAGGGTGTGGGGTGGCCTGAGCAATTTGTAATCCATGAAGGGCCTGGGGAAGCTCAGGGGAGGGACACACCTTGGGAGGGGGTGACATGTGGATGGGAGAGAAGGGGAACAGTACTTCATATGAAACTCATAAATAATCAAAGGCTTTTGCTACCTCCTCCAAGCTGGTGTTGGGGAAGGCCAGTGGGAGTGGGTCTTTGGGGCTATGGGCACACCAGGAGGAGAAAGGGAGGGTTAACCTTCATTCCCAGATGTGGGCCTAAGGACTGGTCCCCACCAAAAGCCCTAGGAGAGAAAATGGGGTCAACCCACATCTCCATCTATTTTTTCTTTTAGAGAACTCAACCAAACTAGAATTTTAAATGGGATGAGCTGAACAATAGGGACCTGGGAGATGGGGTTCTGAGCTGATCCCTAAAGAGATGGGGCCCTTCAGTTCTCTCCCATGCTCCAGCTATGTCTGATTCTCCAGTTGCCTGTCCAGTCCTAGGTTCTAGGCCATAGGCCCTTAGCCCATTCCCTCTCCCCACTACCAACAACCTTAGCCCTAAGAGCAGGGGTCCCCCCAAGGGGAAGGCCAGACTGAAATCTCTGTGAGAGCAAGATGGTGTTATTTTTGTCCTCTGGGGTAGGCACTGCATTAAGGGCTGTTAAATCAATTATTCAAGTTTGGTTGGGAGTGAGAAGGGAATAGTACTGGGAATTGGTTCCCCCTGCCAGCACCAGAGAGGGAATTAGACAAAATGAGGTCTAATTCCTGGGATGGGATGTGTGGTGGTAATACCAACCAGCAACGGTCTAGACAGATGGTGACAAAAACAGAGCTAGGCTGCTGGGGGACTCCATAGGACAGGTCTGGGGGCACCTTCAGAAAGGCGTGGCGACTGTAGGACGTGTATATGTGTGGTGTGTTTCTGTGAGGTATTTTGTGGGGGAAGGAGGCTGCCTATGTTTGGGGGGTGGGATCTGGGGGTAATTGCAGCTGTGAAAGTTGGAGCTAAAGTGGGTCCTCCTGAGGGAAGGGGAAGGACACTCAGAATTAGGGCCTGTAAGTCCTTATTGAAGGTGGCACAGCTAACGATCACTATTTTTGCTTCAAACATTTGGAATGGCCACCGGCCCTCCCCCCTTCCATGACCCAGATTATAGGGGTTTAGGCGGCGGACCCTCAGCCCTCTCACCTAGTATTCAGTAACGATGATTCTTTATTCCCACCTCCAACTTCCTTAGGTCCACAAACTTGCCTAAACAGGTGACTTGGTCCTGGTTCTTTGGCATGGCTCCACAGAGATCCCACATCAAAGCAGCTGCAGACCCTACTACTTGACCCTTGTCCATCTCCTTGAACCCTCAGGGCATCCCACAATGGAGCAACTCCATGCTCCATGTTGAAACCCACCTACATAGCGACCCCATCTCTACCCTCTACTAGCTTCAGCTAGAACTGGCCTTGGGGATGCAGGGATACCACAAGCTGCTGACCTTCCTTGTGACTGGCCCCACTCTGATCAGCTCCACTCCTAACTCCCCACTTCATCATTCGTCGTTCCATTCTCCAGCCACCTCTCCTTCTCCTTCTGCCTTCTCACCCACTCCTCTTTCCCAGTTTCACTCTATAGTCTTCTTCTAACTACTTCCCAAGCCCTCCTCCTCCCCACTTCCGCTGACTGCCTTTAGGGCTATGGTCTTCCCATCACACTCCTCAAAACCCTTTCTCTGGGTGGGGGGTGTCTCACTTTTCTGGGACCCATCTCTAATTTTTCTTCAACCTTAATTGAGCTTGTCCCAGACCATTCCCCTGGACCAGAGCCTGCTTCTCAGAAAACTTAAAAAGTTTTTTTTTGTCTTCTTTCCATTCTAGAGAGGCCCCCATTGCCCCAAATCCAGGTCAGCCGGAGCCCCACTTGAACTGGATGATGGTGAAGAGGGGAGGGTGGGAAAGGAAAAGGAGAGTTTTGGTGTGAGAAGGGGCTGGCTGCCCCACTGCCTGAGGCTAGGCTGTCTTCTTCAACAATTAAAGCATAGACCACAGTAGAGTGGAGTGTATATAGGGGTGGGACTTGTCCTGGGCCTGGGACCTGGGTCAGCAGGCAGGTAGAAGGTTAAGGGGCATGTCCTAGACCAAGGCCCCCAGGTCAGGAGGTAGGGATGAGGAGGGGAGACACGTCTTGGGCTCTGGCCCCAGGTCGGCAGGTGGTAGTTGAATCAGGAAAGGAGACCCTAGTCCTTGATCAGCTTATAGACATGATGTTGGGCCCCGTGCTCACTGGTGGAGACTTCGAAGACAAAGGCAATGACCAGCAGTGTCTCCTGGGAGTCTCGACTCGTCACTACCTGGAATGCAAGAGGGAAGGGGGAGAGGTCAGGGAGAGAGGTGATACATAAGGAAGCAGCCCTATATCCTCAGGATTTGGGTTTTTTTTTCCTTAGCTCTACCACCGATTTTCTGGGTGACATTGGGCAAGTCACTTCATTTTTCTAGGCCTCTGCTTTCTCCTCTGGGAAATGGGAAGGAAAGAAGGAACCAAGCATTTGACAAATGCCTATTATGTATCAAGCACTTTATAAATATTATCACATTGGATCCTCACAATAACTCTGGGAGGTAGGTGTCATTATTATGCCCATTTTATAGATGAAGAAACTGAGGCAGACAAAGGTTAAGTGACTTGTTGAGAGTCATACAGCTAGTAAGTGTCTGAGGCTAGATTTGAACTCAGGTCTTTAACTCCAGGCCCAGCACTGTGTCTACTGTGCTAACTAGCTGCCCGGGTGGAACACAGGGGAAACAGGGGATAGAATATGGTCCCTTCTGAGATCCTTCCAGCTCTTACACTGGAGAATTCTATAGCTTCTGTGGGGTGAGGGGAGAGGAAGAGAAGGGGAGTGGCGCCTACCTGTAGGATAGTGAAGTTCTCCAAGACGCTGTTCATCATATACTTCTCAGGTAGGTGTTTCAGCTTGTGGATAAAGTTGATCATGTATTCACACATGGGGGAGCGATGAATGCGGTACACAAAACGACCATTCTCCAGCCGCGCGTACTCCGTCTGGGGTCAGAGGACACATGGCGCTCGCTGGTTTCCCTTCCTTCCTCCCTCCCCACCCTCTTCCCTCATCCTACTCTCGGCTCACCTCCACTTTCTCTACCACTTGCTTGCCGAAGGAGCAGACCTTGGTGGAGACGCTGATGGTCATGCTATCAGCGGAACTGTACTGGGAGCTGACCCCGTAGAAAGCCCCAGGTCCATCCTGAATGGTACTGTTCAGGTCAGCCTTAAGAACAAAGGTGAGGTGCAGAAACAGAAGAGGGAGAGAAAGTTCAGCTATCTCAGAGCCTTTCCTGGAAACTCTAGGAAAGGATGTAAACACTCGGTACCAAGGGGAAGATTTGGGGCAAGTAAAAGGGGAAAATGTCCCAAGGATATCCAGACATTGGAAAGGCAGCTCAGCATAGCATAGATAGCACTAGACTTGGAGTCAGGAAGAACCAGGTTCAAATCCTGCCTCTGACACTTATTAGCTATGTGACCTTGGACAAATTATGTAACCTTTCTGGGTCTCAATTTCCTCCTCTGTAAAGTGATAGGATGGACTTGAGGAGCTCTAAGCTTCCTTCCAACTCTAGATCTAGTATACAAAGACCAGAGGGTCTCCTACTATCCCTCAAGACATTCCACATCCCTTCCCTGCTCCCTGGTTCTGGGACAAGGGTGGTTTTGGTTCTCGGTGGTCAGAAGTTAAGGGACTTTGAAGTTTGAGATTGGAATGATTAGGAAAAAGTCTGAAGCCAGGCTGCCTCTGAAGAGGAGATTGTGAAGAGAGTGAAGGCTTTAGTTTGGAGAATCCTTACCCAGAACTTGACAAGGAAGAAGGCATTAGGTGGCCCTTTCTCATACAGATCCTTCAGCCCACCCTTTTTCTCGGGGAACTTGTCATAGATCTGGCGAACGTCCACGGCTTCCAGGGGAGGGTCTGAGAAGGCAGGGTTGGTCTGGCCAATGTGCACGAACAAATGCTTGCTGTACTGTAGGGGAGGGGTCCAGTACAGGGTCATGTTAGAGGCCTACGGGAGGGGCCCTAGGAAGGGAGAGGGAGATAGGGCCTAAGGTGGTGGTGGTAGGCGGGAGGGAGGGATGACGCTACATGGCAAAGGGTGAAAGGAGACAGACAAAAAGGGTCAGAATCTCTAAGAGTGTGAGGTAGGTCATGCTAGCATCTACAGGCTCCTAAGAACTCAAATAAGGATTCAAATAGCTTGGGTTCTCTGGGCATACAGATATGTTACATCCCCAAACTGGGGCTCTCTTTACCCCATGACTATCCCCTCCAACTAGGCCACACTCTCTGTGCCCTATAATTTTATTGTGTTCTCTATTCTCCCTGACTACATTAGGGTCTCTGTCCCCTCAATGAATGTGTTCTCTGATGCCATGAATATACTACGGTCTCTGTCTCCCCATGTCTGTGCCCTGTTCTCTGCCACCAGGTCTATGTCTCTGCCCTGCCCATATGGCTCTTTCCCCCCACAGGACCACGTTAGATTCTCTCCAGCCCAATTACCGTGTCTGGATCTCGCTGCACTTCCATAAAAGCTGAATATTCTAGGAGCCGAAGTCTAGTGGAGGCGATGGTGCGGTCCTGCCACACAGGCACGGCAGAGGCGGCTGGTGGGAGTGGGGCCAAGGGCTCGTAACCTGGGGGAGAGACTTCTATTGTGAACCAGGCAGGGGTCTAGATATATGCCAGGAACTCTTGGTCTGTGCTAGCGGCCAATGGCCAGGTCTCAGTCTCCGCTCCCAAGACTGGGTTGAGGCTCAAGCTCTCTCTTGTGGCAAGGTGGAGTAGAGATTGGAGAGGAAAAGGAGTCGAGTTAGGAGCTAAATCAGATGAGACGAGCAGGGAGGCAGAGACAGACTCCAGTACTGGTCCACTTTTCTAATCCTAGAATTGCTCAGCAGGATTCCATGGGTAACCATATTCCTGGAGATCATTGGATCATTAGATGAGTGAGGGGGCAGAGGCCAGTGTAGGGGAGCTCTGAGAAGGCAAGGCCTTGAGAACTGAGAGGCAAAGAACCATATCTAGGAGAGTAATGTCTAGTGTGAGAATCCCCCTGGGAACATGTGTGTGTGTGTGTGTGTGTGTGTGTGTGTGTGAGAAAGACAAAAGGAGAAAGTCACACATAGAGAAAGACAGAGATTATCCATGAGTGTCTATGTGATGGTATGTGTCAGTTTGATCATGTGTGACTGTGTTTAGAACTAGAAAGCACTCATGAAAGGATCACCTCATTAAAGAATTACAGGACTTTCTTGCTGAGAGGGACCCCAGTGGTCATCTGGCCCAACCCCCTTATTTGAGAGGGGGAAATTGAGGGGCTGAGGTGGGAAAGTGATTTATCCAAGGTCTTACATCTGGTAAGTGATACTGACTTACACTCAGTTACTTGGCAAAACCACAACTCAGACTCAAGACTTTGGCCCTAATATGCATGCATGTGCATATATACACACGTGCATGCATACACACATGTGTATATGCACGTGTATGTACACACAAGTGCATTTATGTGCATATGTACACACATGTATATGCAGATGTGTATATATGTCTATGTACACACATACATGATCATACACACATGTTTTGGACAGGAACTACAGACAGTAAGCTAGGACCACAGGTGAACGGGAAATGGATTCAACCAGCTAGATACAACCTAGGAAATAAGGCAGCCCCGTTTGAATGAACCAAAACTACTCACGGCAACAAAAGCCCATCTCTAACACTAGCATTCTCCAGGGTTACCATATAGCTGTTAATCATCGAACACCATAATCCCAGAAGACTAACAATCACTAGTGGCCCAAAGGACAAAGAGAAGATGTGTGGTGGGCATACACAGCCCACAACACGTTAACAATGATTACTTCCGAGAGAGACATCTCATTATGGGACCAGAAAAGGAGGTGGGCTGGTCATGAATTGAGACCGAGACAGCAGATGGGTAGCCCAAATGCACACTAGTATCCTGGAGTTACTAAAAGGAAGGACTCCAGTACACCAGGTGTATCTCTGGGGGAGGATTTACACAAAGGAGTGGATGAGAATCACACAGAATGAGGTGTGATGAGATTGTGAACTGTACTAGTGAAAGGCATGCCCTTCAAGACTCCTGCCTAGCAGTGATTATAGAGACATTTCTAGTACAATGTGATCTGGAAAATCCGTGTAAAATTTTTTGGCCCTCCATACCCGAGAAGTCTGAATTTTCTTCCTTTTCTTTTATGGAGCGTTTACTGTACCTTATTGTAAAATTTGGGTTAACTTTTTGGTCATAGGCTATATTATATAATACTATACATACATTTTATGCATTTCTGAGTTCCTCAATTTTTCCAGAGTCATCTGTGGCTTCCACAAAACTCCTCAAAAATTCCCATTTAATTTCTTAGGCTGACCCATGATATCAAAACGGCAATGGGGAAAATCATGTTGTGGAAGGGATAACTGCACATAGATGTAAGACGTATAGAGTGTGCGTGTATGTGTGTGTGTGTGTGTGTGTGTGTGTGTGTGTGTGTGTGTGTTGGAGGGGGAACAGGGACTGAAGTAGGGGTAAGGATGGGGACTGGATGTAACTGTGTGGAGAAATGTGTATGTATGTGTGAGGCCAAACATAGGGAAAATGATAAAGTAGTTTAGCTTTGGCATTTCCCAACTGTTCTCCGCTTGAGACTTCACCCTTCTCCTGGCTTGACATCAATCCCCTTTGACTGTATCTGTGACTGAAGGCACGACAACTAAGGATTAGTTTTCATAGCCCCTGACTCCAGGGCTGGATTCAAGACCTCTTTTGGGGCAAGGTGGAGAAGAGATTGGAGAGCAAGCAAAGTAGAATTAGGAGCGAAATCAAGGTCTAGACATGCAGGGAGGTGGAGACAAACCATAGTACTGGCCACTTACTAGTGAGAGTGGGTGGCAGGGGTGGCTGGATGGGGTAGGCTGGCTGTGCAAAGGGTTTGATGCTGGAATATACAAGAAAAGCCGCAGTTAGTCTCTCTGTCTGTCTCTCTCTCTCCTCCTTCCTCCCTCCCTCACTCTCTACACACACACACACACACACACACACACTCCTACACATACACACCCCTACACACACACCCCTACCTTATTGCCCTAATCTACCTCCTTATTTTGGGCATCACCAAGGAGGGTGTCTGGCCTTCCAACTGTGGCCTAGAAACACTTGCTGACTGACTGTTTAAATAAATATTTGCCTAAGTGGCTGAGTGATTGGTTAAATGATTGACTGGCTAAGTAACTGACCCAACCAGGAACCATGATCAAATCAACTCTGCCACTGTTTCTGAATGAGGTATGTCAATCTACTTGACATACCTACAGCTCCATTCACTATCCCTGTACTTTTCAGAATCAAAGTGGGCCTCTCTGGTCACCATTCCTCTTTGTGTCTTGTCTCCACCATTAGAATGTAAGCTCTCTGAGGGCAGAAATTGTCTTTGCTCTTTGTTTTTGTAGCCCCAGCTTAGCACAGCGTTTGGCATATAGTAAGTCTCAAAATGCTGTACGGGGACTTCTGGGAGTCTCCAAGACCCTTTTATGAGGCCTGTGAGTTCAAAACTATTCTAATAATAATGCTAAGGTATTTTAACTTCATTAGATACAACCCACAAAAAGCTCATCGAAACTTTTGAAAAAATAATTATTTCAAAATATTCAAATATATTGAAATAATTATTTGAAAAAAAATTTTTTTAGTGTAAAGTAGGCTTCAGATCAAAAAGTCTAAGAACCACAGTGCTTAATAAATGCTTTTTTCCTTCCTTCCTTCCCTAAATAACTGATTAACTAAGTAACTGACTGATTAGCTGACTGACTAGTCCAGCTAAGTGACTCACTAACTGGTTAGGTGACTGGATGACTAATTAAGAAACTGGTTGACTGGTTAAATGACTGACCCACCAAGTGGTTGACTGACCCACTGATTATTTAACTGACTAGCTGACTGACTGACTAGAATTAGAGGGAGGAGGGAGGGGATCATTTTATTCAATAAAAGCATTTTAATCCCACTGTTCCATAACTGACTAATAATAGAGCAAAGTGACTCATTGACCAAGTGATTGACTGAGACTGGTTGAGTAAGTGACTAACTAGTTAACCTGCTGACCAATTATCTGACTAACTACCTATGTGACAGATAAGCTTCTAGCTGGCTAACCAATTAAGTAACTTCACTCATCTACAATGATTTAGACCAGGGCCCAATGGATTGATGCTCTCAAGTTTTCAAGATGGAGCTGAGGCTCCAGGACAAGGTTGGGGCTGGGGGTCCAGCGGGGATTCAGGCAGGGGCACTGACGAGGAATGGAGGGAAGGGCCAGGAAGGGCAGGGGTATGCTGACTGAAATACTCACTCCTGAGAGGGTCCCGGCTGCTGTCCCGGGAGAGGGGGCCCACTCCAGAACTGCAGAGAAAGGAGAAAGGTGGGCGATTACTCAGTCCAATCTCACCTGGCCTGGAATGCAGGACCTCCAGTCCCTCACTCCGCCCTGTTGTGAATTTTCCCCTGCACTCCCGGCTCACAAGACCCACTTTCTATCTCCGGGAAGCCTGAATTTTGGTCCCCTCCTCTCCCAATCCCTGAGCCCCCTGTACCTTACCCGTGAAGCAGCGGCAGAGAAAACTGCCTGGGGGATTGGGGGAGGCGGGCTGAGTTTATTCTGCAAGACGCTGGCTGAGACAATCTGAGCTGAGGACATAGAGGCCATACTTTGGAGGGCCTTATCCTTGGAGACCTGGTCCTGGGGAGGCAGGAAAGGGGCATGATGTTAAAGGGCTCACCTGACAACTTTTTCGACTATGACCCACACCACCACCCTCCCCAGACTCATGCATGCCTCTGTCTCCCCGCATGCATGCTTGTGACAGGATAACAGAAAGCAGCCTGGAGTTTTGGGAGTGGGGAAGAAAAGGAGCTGCCTCAAAGGGGCATACGTCAAGGGAACCTGCCTGGGAAAGGCCAGAGTAGGGGCAGAGCCTGAGTGGGAGACAGTAAAAGGACAGGGGAATGGAACACGGAACTGAGAGCTGAGATCCGAGTTCAGCCTCTGCCACTAACTCACTGGGCAGGTCTCTTCGCCAATCTGGGTCTCAGTTTTCTTGTTTGTAAAATAAGGGAGTCAGACCTTACACTTCTCTACAGCTTTATAGTTTCCAAAGCACCCACATCCATTATTTCATTGAATCCTAAACACGGAATAGAGGATAGGGACTAGCTTGTGAGTGTAGGGAACTCCTCCTACCAATATGAGTCAGCAGCTTCTCCCCAAGTTATAATCTTAGAGAATTACCTAGAGCACTGACAAGTTAGGTGACGTGCCCAGGTTCCATAGCTAGCTAGTATGTGTCAGAGGTAGTCCTTGAACCTGGGTCTTCTTGGCTCAAAGCCTGGTTCTCTATCCACTATGCCTCTTGTAGAAATGGCATCGTAAAATAAATAAGGAAGGAAGTAGGAGCCTTATTTCAGGGATGAAGGAAATGAGAACCCAGAGACATTGTGACTTGCCCAAAATTATATAACTCGTAGGTGCCAAAGCCAAGAGGAGATCTTGGTTTTCAGTGCTCTAAGACTTCTCCCAATTTACTCAGTCCATGGCATATACCTAATGACGCATCAGTCAGAGGAAGGTGCAAGGAGGGAAAGAGGAAGGATGGGAGGGGGTGGTGTTTTGCTACTTACCAGGTTCATGGCCTGTGAGGGGAAAAGGAACACTAGATCAGAGGAAAACCAGAGGGTGGAGGGAGGGGACCACCCCTTTCCATTCCCTTCTCCTCCCTCCAATGACTCTCTAGTTCTCAGCACTCACTAAAGAGGTAGGGAGAGGTCCAGGGAAATCTACCTTCCTGCTGGGGGCTCCATTTCCCCAGTAGCTCCTGACTAGGGACACTCACCTGCCTTCAGGTAAGCTCACCTGGGCAACCCACTAGGGTTAAGAGGTTAAGGCCCGGGAGTCTCTGGAGGAGGGTACTCAAGGGAGACTAGAAGGAACTGGATCGGGGGAGGATGGAAGCATGGAATGGTGAAACCTCGGGATGAGGAAGAGGTGGGGGCACTGAGAAGACCCTATAGAGCTAGGGCAAGGTGATGAGGCCTACAATGGCAGGAGATATAGGGCGATTGGGGTGGGATTACCCATAGGGGTGGTCTAGTTATTCTATAGGAGTTAGACTGCAGGGGTGGAGCCTACGCTTGAGGAGGGAAGAGTCATCTAGGAGTGTGTGTCTACAGGGGAAATACTTCTGTGTCTACCTCTGAGGAGCCCAAGGGAAGGAGCCAGGCAGGCCCAGGTCTGGCATGCCTTCTGGGAGGGGTAGAGGAGCGGGGAGTTGAATATGACCTGACCCTAGAAGGCTCAGGGATTCCAGGGACCGAGATCTGCCTTCAGACCAGGATGCCCTGGTACCAGAATTCCACCGTGGTAAAATGGGTGGATAGGGGGAGGGGAATGAAGCAATCCATCATCACCATCCCACCACCACTACCAACAGCCCATAACCAAGACCTGACCCCCAAAAGCCCCAGTGCGGTTAGTTAGCGGTGGCGAGGAGGAGGGAAGGAGAAAAAAAAGAAAGCGGAGTAGAGGAGAGATCGGCCCTAGTGGCCCTCAGACCGCCAGATGCTGCATCTATTTCCCTCTCTCTCCTCTTTATAATGGGGTCTGGGTGAGGTGGGGAAGTCCCTGCAGCCAGCACTGGTTGATCTGCTTTCCAACCCAGAGGATGAGGATGCCCTCTTCCTGCTTCCTCCTGCTTGGGCTGGGACTAGGTCCCCCATAGCATTATCCCCATTAGGCCCTCAAGGGTACCCCTGAGATAGCAGGGGAAGTGAGAAACTCCTCCTACCTGCTTTTTCCCCCTACCCAGGGGCCTTTTTATAGCCCCCTCTTCCTCCCCTTCCTGGCCCTGGGACAGTCAGTAAATGCTCTGTGGGATGGAAAGCAGGGTTGGTGACCTATAGAGCTAGAAGGAGGCAGGGATGGGAAGGGGCCGGTGGGAGGCCCAAGGGGCCCCAGGAGAGGCCAGGCCGGGTGGTGGGGGACCCGTACCTTCAACTTGGACTGAATCTCCCTCGATTTCCGCCTGGCTAGAACCTGCAAGTGGCTAGAGACCTGCAGAGAAAGAGCAGAAGAAGGAGACAGCAGAGCCGTCAGCCAGAGGAGAGGTGGGAGCGAGCGGAGCGCAGAGAGGGGGGCCAGGGAAAGTCGCTTGCCCATGCTGCAGGTCGGAGGGCGGTATGGCGGGCTTGGGAAGAGGGAGGAAGGGCAGAGGTTGGAGACCCCAGGCCAGGGTGGGGTGCTGACATACCTTGATGCCAACCTGGTACTCCCGCACCTTCTTCCTTGCTAGAACCTGTATGTGGCTGGACACCTAGGGGCACCACCCCACGTCCGGCCAGAGAGGAAAACACAGAGAAAGTGAGGGAGGCAGGGGACGCCCATGGGGACCGGGATGACTAAGGAGCCATGACCAGGGTGGCCCTGGTCCCATGAAAACCTTTGAGTCCAATGGAACACCTTCCTGGTCCAGAGGGTTCCAAAGTGTGTCCCAGAACCTGTGTTTCCTGGGAAAGGGGTTACTCAGGGGGCAGCAGTCTATAAACATGTATACAGAGTAGTAACACTCATAGAGGGATACCTCATAGCTCTCCATCCTACCAATCCCATTTTTTCTTTATGAGCCCTGTGGGTGCTCCCCAAGGCTCCATCCTAGGTCCCCTAAACTCTTCTCTTTCTCTCTATTTTCTCTCTCTCTAAACTCCCATGGGTTTAATTATCTCTATACCAAAGACTCCAAGATCTACATAAACAGCCCCAACTTCCTCTGAGCTTCAAATACTGCACCACCAATTTCCTTTTGCACGTTTCACACTGGATGTTCCAGAGACAGCTCCAAACTCAACATGTCCAAAACTGAACTCATCACCTTTCCTCCCCATAACCCCCCCTTCCAAATTTCCTTATTTTTATTGAAGGCATCTCTATTCTTCCAACCTTTCAGGTTCAGGACCTTACCAATCCCATCGCCATCCTTGCCCAAACCTATATTGGCTTCCTCTTTTCCCCTGCATTATATCTAAATATAATCCTCAGCCTGATAAAATAATGACAGTCTGTATTCATATCAGATGGTCTCGAGTTGGAGCAGGCTCCTAAGTACTTCTAGTCCATCCCCTGCTTTTTCACGGATCAGGAAACTGACCTACAGAGAAGGGAAGTCACTTGTCCAAGGTCACACAAGTAGGAAGTAGCAGAAAGGAGATTCACCAGACCCTTTCCTTCTTTTTCACTACAGCATACACTTAAAGCCTCCCTACTCTAAATTTTATGAGGTATTCTCCTGAAGGCAACTCTATGACATAGGTTGTGTAAGTGTTTGGGGGGAACGGGAGGCCACACTAATGATTTCATTGGTAGAGGGAATCTCTCTATGGAAACTCCCTCCACCAGTGCAGATAGAGGTCGAGTAACTTTCTCAGAACCACATAGCCAACATACATCGGAGGTGAGACGTGAACTCAGATCTTCTGACTAAAAATTGAATGTTTTCTCCCGCAGCTACTGCCCCTGTGAGCTTTTCTGCTGCTGGCTCTACCTTATTTCATTTCTGACTTCCTAGTGCATAATGCCTCTGCTCCAATTCTGCTGGACACCTGTGCACCATACTCATTCACGCCTTTGCCTACGTTGCTCAAACCTCTCTTTCTCTAGGAACCTCTTCTCCAAACTTGTCATCATTTCTTTCACACTTCACCTCTTCAGAGGAACCTTTCCAGGCTTTCCCTGTCCTTCCTGATCTTTCTCTTTCTTTGCTTCCCATGGTATGTATGTAATGTTTATGTTTTAGGAAGCTCCTTTACATCTTCTAGGTTTTTTCTGTTGTTGTTTGTTTGTTTTTAATTTTTATTTTAAAAATTTTTTTTTTAATTTGCTAGGTAGTGGGGTTAAGTGACTTGCCCAGGGTCACACAGCTAGTAAGTGTTATGTGTCTGAGGCCGGATTTGAACTCAGGTCCTCCTGAATCCAGGGTCAGTGCTCTATCCACTGCACCACCTAGCTGCCCCTGTTTATTTTTATTTTGTCATGAAGGACTTGTCTCCCCATTTGTAGATGGACCCTGATTTAAGAAGATCCTAGGTGTGAAAATTCAGCTTTACAAAAGGGACCAGCAGGTATAGTTCCTCAGTTTATGAAACAATTAGGAGTGTGCCTTTTTCAAAGTGAACTGCCTGCCTAATTCTAATAGGATTAGATTTACTCCCAGCCTTTTCAGGGACACAGCCATCAAAGTTATCCTGTCACTTGGTGAGATCTTCTTGGCCGTGGTAGTTTCTAAGCTCTACTGCTGGAAGGGAATTTAGAGATGATGGAATCATGGATTTAGAGCAGGGAGAGACCTTGGAGAAAATCAAGTCCAATTCTTCCCCTCCCCTACCCCACCTCTGGGCCAACCCCATCATTTTACAGATGGGGAAACTGAGGTCCAGACGGGTTAAGTGATTTGCCTAAGATCATACAGGTAATAAGTGTCAGAGCCATGTGCTCTGACTCCAAATCCAGCTCATTTCCACGGCATGGATGTAGACTCTTGTATTGCCTTTTTTTTTTTAATTTAAAACATTAAAAATTTTTTTAATTAGCACAATCTATTGAAAAAAGTCTGAAAACACTGACTGTGTTCTTTATTTCTTCTCTCTCCCCCAGAGTGCCTAGCACAGGCCTGGGCATACACACTTAATGAATGGATTTTTGTCCCCATACTGGGAAACCCAAAACCCTTTCAGGAAAGAAGGGGCACTTCTTGTGATGGTGGGATCAGAGGATCCTGACCTCCTGTCACAGTTCTGAGACAAGGATGCAGGGCCAAAACCTTTCCATCACCATTGCCAAATTCATCTTCCCTTTCAGGAGCAGGATCTATGAGCTTCGTTCTATCAACTTAGGTTTGTCATAGACATGTTGAGCATCAAGTTTCTTGGTTCAAACTCCATCTTTGGGTGAAGGCCAGGGAGGATGCAAGGGTGGCTATAGTTATCCCTACCTCTCAGTAGACTACATGGCCCTAGAGGTGAGGTGCTGAGTCTTTTTTCATCTTCAGGAAGAAAGAAGGACTCAGAACCCAGGACATCAGAAATGCTTATTCAATATCTGTCAAATTGAATTAAAGGGGTGGTGGTAACGTTAGGGGTGGCTGTCTTATGTCCTAAGATCGTAGACTCAGGGTAAGAAGGGAACTTAGAGGCCACTTAGTATAACCCCCCTTATTTTATAGATGATGAAATTGAGGCCTTTAGAGGTGACTTGGCCAAAGTCACATGGGTGCCACTGTCAGTGGTTGAGCCAGGATTTGAACCCAGCTCTTTTTTCTCTGAGACTCTAGGACCTGACCTTAATGTCCCTATCATAAATGGGCTAAGGGACAACCCTTAGGGTCTTAGCTAAGGCTGGATGCTCTATGTGTCTTTCCCTGGTCAAAAGCTGAGGAGGAGCAGAGTAGACTGTCCTGCTGACCCTTCTGAGATCCCCAATGTTGTGGTCACCTCCCAGCTGGGGAGACAATCAGGGTGTATACTGTAGGGTAGGGAGGGTTCTCAACTGCAGGAAGTAGGGGGCAAGGTTCCAGAAGATTACTTCCTGGAATCCATTATCCGTTATCAGAGGTGTTAGGGCTAGTAAAACAGTCACTGCCCCATTCCTTTTTTTTCTTTTTTTTTGGCTAGGCAATAGGGTTAAGTGACTTGCTCGGGGTCACACAGCTAGTAAGTGTTATGTGTCTGAGGCTGCATTTGAACTCAGGTCCTCCCGAATCCAGGGCCGATGCTCTATCCACTGTGCTACCTAGCTGTCCCTGCCCCATTCCTAATAGAAAGAACCTCAATCCCCTCAGGGAGGTTGAAGGAAGAAAGCAGTGACCACAAGATCTGGAACCTGGCAGCATTGTGGCCAAAGGATCAAACAGAACAGTGATGGAGGAGGGGGTATGGACAATGCCACCATGCCCCTCAGCCCACAGGAGCCTGGTAGTGTGACTTGGTAAAAAATAAAGGATACCAAGTCCCCTGTAGGCTTGGTGGGGGGCAGCATTTTTCATAGCTCTTTTTCATAGATCCCGACACCTCAAATCTCTGGGAAGAGTATATTAGGTGTGGTTTTGGAGGGTGTTTAGGTTTTCAATAGCATGGTCCCCTCCACCCCGACCTCCCAGAATAGCTGGGGGTGGGCATCTTGTCTAGGTTGCAGTTTCCTCATCTGGCCTTTTCTACTTTGCAGTACTCAGCCCGATACCCAACTGCCCAACTTTCGAAACTCGAATCCTGGGGAAATCTTTAAGAGTAGGCAATTCAAAACATCCAGGGGATCGGGATGGAGCAGTTCCAGGGTGGAAGGCCAGGAATAGGGAACAGAAGAAAGAAGCATGGAATGTCAGAGTCGGGAGGGACTTTGGAGACTATTTACTCCAATGTCTTCATTTCACAAAGGGGGAAACCATAGAGGTTATGGGTTGAGAGGAAGAGAGGAGAAGGGGTTAGTGTTGTTGGGGGTGGTGAGCCAGTTCTTTCAAAGGGGTGAGAAGGAGAAAGAGAGAGAGGAGGAGGAGGAGGAGGGGGAGGAGGAGAAAGATGGGGGAGGGAGGAAAGGAGAGAGGAGAAAATAGATGGAGAGACACAGAGAAAGAGGGAGGAAAAGAGGAAGAAAGAGAGGAGAGGGACAGGAAAGGGAGGAGGGAAGAGACAGAAAAAGAGGGAGGGAATGAGGAAGAGAGGAAGGAGAGGGAGAAGAAGGGAAGAGGGAGAGAGAAAGAGGGAGAGAATGAGGAAGAGAGGGAGGAGAGGGAGAGGAAAGGGAAAGAAGAAAGGGAAAGACAGGGAAAGAGGAAGGAAAGGGAGGGGGGAGAGACAAAAAGAGTGAGAGAAAGAGGAAGAGAGAGAGAAGAGGGAGAGGAGGAGGAAAGGGAGAGAGGAGGAAAGAGAGAGAGAAAGAGGGAGGGAATGAGGAAGAGAGGGAGGAGAGGGAGAGGAAGAGGAAAGAGAGAGGTAGGGGGAAAGAGAGAGAGAGAAATGTGCAGTATACATGTGTGTCAGTTGTGTATACATGTATGTGTTCAGGGTTGTAGCATATCTTTTTACCTGTTTCCTTGTCCGAGTCTTTCCTGTCCTTAGCTTGATATATCGGGCTATCAACTCATTGCGACCTGGATTGAGAGGAAGGGGGAAACCAGGGAGTAAGTAAATGGTGTAACTAAAAGTGGGCAGCCCTATGGTCTTCCCCAGCCCAGTGTCTACCTCTCCTTTCCTTCCTCTCACTCTGACCCCAGGTCTCTCTGGGCCAGAAGGTGGCACCAGTTGGACAGAGTTGGATGGAGGCCAACAGGACAAAGATGTGGATGCAGGGGACCTGAGGGCCTTCTCCCAGCTGAGGGCTTGGAACAGATCCCCAGCCAGGAGGCAGAGGATGGCTGATATTAGGGGTGGCAGCAGCAGCTTCCAGAGTAGAGGCATTAGGGTAAAAGAGGGGCCCAACACATATTAGGTACTGTTGTCCTATTCACAACCCTTTTTGGTTCTGTAGACAAACAGCGGCAGGTGAAAAAGACAACTGGATAATGCACTGTGTGTGTGTGTGTGTGTGTGTGTGTGTGTGTCTATTCATGTCTCTCCCATGCCTCTCCACTCCCTCCCACCCTGGATGTGTCACTGTGCATCCTTCTGTGTGGACTGTGTGTATCCTTTTTGGTACATGTCAATGTGGCTCTGTATCCTCTGAATCACGAGGTGTGTACATCCCTCCTCCACCCATGTTACTCCACATTTGTGTGTGTGACTGTGTCTATGAAACAGCACTGGTCTGGGGTGTGTGTGTGTGTGTGTGTGTGTATGTAGGGAGGGGGCTGTAGTCCTGGCTCTGCCCTGACTTCCTTTCTTTGGACCTCAGTTTCCTGCTCTGTAAAATGAGAGGGTTAGACTAGCTGTTCCCGGAGGTCCCTTCAGCTCTTCTTCAACTCTGAATGATTCTTTGTCTTGCTCCCTGAAGCCTTGGGTCCTCCCCTCTGAACGTCTCTAACTGAGGCTGTCATTTCTTTACACGCTCCTGTGTGTCTATGAGGAAGCTTATGTATCTGTGTCTGTATGTCCTTGTGTGATGTCTGTCTGTCTGCCTGCCTACCTATGTCATCCATCCATCCATGTAGATATATATGAATGCATGCATGCATGAATCTATCTATCTATCTATCTATCTATCTATCTATCTATCTATCTATCTATCTATCTATCTATCTATCTATCTATCTATCT